GATGATGGCCCTAGGCGTAACAAACTGACTGAAGATATTCGATTGAATGAACTTGACCACAACTTTATAATCATTAGTTATGGTAGCTTTCACCTCAACCCATTTAGACACGTAATCCACTGCTAAAAGAATATACTCATAGCCTTAAGAAGATGAAAACGGTCCCATGAAGTCAATTATCCACACATCAAAAAATTTTATGATTAAGATGGGGGTAAGGGGCATCATGTCTTTCCTTGACATGGATCTAACCTTTTGGCAATGCTCACATGACTTGAAGAAATTGTAAGCATCCCGAAACAAAGAGGGCAAATAAAATCCGCTTTGAAGGACTTTGTCGGTAGTTTTCTTGGCACTAAAATGTCCGCCACATGCAAGAGTGTGGCAGAAATTTAAGACGCTTGAGAATTCAGTTTCGGGAATGCATCGCCGGATGATTTGGTCCGGGCAATACTTTAATAATTCTGGATCTTCCCAAAAGAAATGTTTGACTTGGGAGAAGAACCGATCTTTCTCTCGTTTTGACCATTTGGATGGAATTTTTCCTACCGCAAGGTAGTTGACAATATCCGCAAACCATGGGAGAATTGAATGAGAAATCTGAAATAGTTGCTCATCCGGAAAGGAATTAGGAACTGCAGCAAAATCAAAAGATTTCTCAATGAGTAGTCGACAGAAATGGTCAGCAACGACATTGTCTGTCCTTTTTTTATCCCAAATTTCAATGTCAAACTCTTGGGGTAAGAGTATCCATCGAATTAGACGGGGTTTGGTCTCTTTTTTGGCGAACAAATGCCTTAGAGCGACATGGTCTGAAAAGACAATGACCTTGGATCCAAGAAGGTAAGAACGGAATTTATCCAAGGCATACACCACGGCTAGTAACTCTTTTTCAGTGGTAGTGTAATTCAATTGAGCATCAGATAGAGTTTTGCTAGCATAATAAATAGCATGTGGTAACTTTTCCACACACTGGCCCAAAACTGCACCCAATGCATAATCGGATGCATCACACATGTTCTCAAATGGGATAGACCAGTTAGGTGGTTTCATAATTAGGGCTAAAGAGAGAAGAGTACGAAGCTTCTTAAAAGCTTCCAAGCAAGCTTCATCAAAATTAAAGGGAATATCCTTGGCAAGAAGATTACACAAGGGCTGGGATATTTTGCTAAAATCTTTGATGAAGCGGCAATAAAAGCCGGCATGACCAAGAAAGGAACGGATTTTTTGGACAGAATTTGGAGGAGGAAGGTTAGAGATTAATTCGACTTTAGCGTTGTCAACCTTAATTCCCTTTTTAGAAATAACATGCCCCAAGACAACGCCTTCTTGGACCATGAAATAACTTTTTTCCCAACTTAGAATAAGATTTGTCTCCTTGCATCTTTGAAGCACAAGGGATAGATTTTGGAGACATGAGTCAAAGGAAGATCCAAAGACGAAAAAATCATCCATGAGTACCTCTAAGAACTTTTCAACCATATCGGAAAATATGGACATCATGCACCTTTGGAAAGTTGCCGGCGTATTACATAGCCCAAAGGGCATGCGTCTATAGGCAAATGTTCTAAAGGGACATGTGAATGTGGTCTTCTTTTGATCTTGAGGATCAATTGCCACTTGGTTATAGCCAGAATAACCATCAAGGAACCGGTAGTTGCTTTGGCCGATAAGCCTCTCTAGGATTTGATCAATGAATGGGAATGGAAAATGATCTCTCCTAGTAGTAGAATTGAGTTTCCAGTAGTCAATGCACACACGCCACCCAATGGTGGTGCGTTGTGGCAAGAGCTCTCCTGCTGAATTTTTAACAACGATGAGGCCGGATTTCTTGGGAACAACTTGAGTGGGGCTCACCCACTTGCTATCAGAGATAAGGTAGATGATTCTCGTATCTAGTAGCTTGATCACTTCTTTCATGACCACTTCCTTCATGTTTGGATTCAACCGACGTTGCACCTCTCTAGAAGGTTTTGTGTCATCCTCTATATGAATGCGATGCATACAAATAGAAGGGTCGATTCCTTCCAAATCAGCCACTACTTAGCCAATAGCTTCTTTTTGCTCTTGTAGCACCGCTAAGAGGCTGTTTTTTTGGTCCTTTAAAAGGTCCGATACAATGATGACTGGAAGAGTTTTATTTACACCAAGAAACACATACTTGAGGTGGACCGGGAGTGGCTTTTACTTAAGTTATGGTGGAGATTTCAAGGAAGGGACTGGAGGAGTAGTGGAAAGTTGAGGAAGTGGTTCTCTTGGCACTTTCCAAGGAAGAAAGTCCATGATAGCACCAATGTCGAGCAAAGAATTTACTTCTTGGATGGATTGATTGATATCAAAGTTTGCAAAATCAAAGTGAGACGTGCAAGTTTTAAGAGGATCCTTGCTTAGAATGAAGGGGAGAGATTCTTCGACCACTTCATCGACCACATCAATGAGAAAACAATCATCCTCTTGGAAGGATGTTGAGTTGCATGGAAAATGTGGAGTTTGACTTGCATATTTCCAAAGGTGATATCCATCACACCGGTTCGGCAATTTATCGAAGCATTAGTCGTAGCTAAGAAAGGCCTACCGAGGATCACGGGAATATGTTTCTTTCGATCATGCACCGGTTTCGTGTCAAGAACCTCAAAGTCTACCAGGAAGTAAAATTTGTCCACTTTGATGATGACATCTTTAAGAATGCCCCGTAGGTGCTTGACTGATCTATCGGCAAGCTGCAAGACCATGGAGGTTGGCTTAAGTTCTCCTAACCCGAGTTGTAAGTAAACTAAATATGAAATCAAGTTCACACTCGCCCCTGAGTCAAGGAGGGCCCTCTCTGTCTTGTTATCACCAATGACAGACGAGATTATCGGGGCACCTAAATCCTTATACTTTGGAGGAGTGCTGTGCTGAATTATCGCACTTACTTGTTCAGTTAGCCTTACTTTCTTCGGTAAATGACTTTTGGAAGTGTGCTTTTTGAGTGCACAAATCCTTAAGAAATTTGGCATATGGAGGAATTTGCTTGATAGCATCCAAGAGAGGTAGGTTGATCTTTACTTGCTTAAAGACCTTCCACATGTCTTGAATTTTACAACTTTTATTCCCAAAATGTGTCGACTCTTGGAGACGTTGAAGAAATGGAGCCTTAGGCTCATAAGAAGTCTCCACATTTGGGGTGACAAGTTTGGAATTTTCAGTGCTAGACTTGGGGGATTTTTAGGAGTGAAATTTGGATTAGATGAGATAGGATTTAGATTTTTGGGAGGAAAAAGTTGTTCATCTTTTCCTCCATCAACCTTGTTGTCTACAATTCGACCACTTCTTAGGGTGGTGATTGCTTGGACTTGTTCATGAGTAGGCCCACTTGGAGGAGGGGCTTCATCAATCACATGTATCCTTCTAAGATTCTCAAATAGTTGAGCGAGAAGTTTTCCCTTATCTCTTTGAAGAAGTTGGTTCATTGAATTAGCTATTTGTCCCACTTGATTTTCAAGTTTAGCTATTGACTGAGTATGTGAATGAACCATTTGGAGTGTGGGCTACAATGATGTCAACAGTTGCTTGTTAGATTCTAACATTTGCTTGTTAAGAGATTCCATCATTTGCTTGTTTGCAGCGAGAATCTCATCAGTTGGAAACACAAGAGGTGGAGTAGAAACATTTAGATTATAGGGTGGACGATAAATTGAAGAGTCCTGAAATTGCCTATTTGGAAATTGAGAAAAGGGCTGATTTTGATGCCCTTGATTTTGAAATGTCGAATTTTGTGGAGCGGGTTGCCTCCACGAAAAATTAAGATGATCTCTCCATCCCGGATTGTAGGTATTGGAATAAGGATTATTTCCAGGCCTGGAAAACATATCATTAGCTTGTTCTTGATTGTTACTAGGAAATTGCTCCGCTGTGGGGCAATCTTTCGGCTAGTGCATGAGGCACACACCACACTTCCCGAATTTTGAGACAAGGAAGGAGAGAGATGTTGTGCCATTAACTGATAGAATTTGTGAGCTATAACAGGTATTCTTTGCATTGGTTGAGGTAAGAGTCCCACGAGAATTATGTTGCAATGAGATTTCACTCAAATTTTCGAGTAAGGTCTAAGCCTCATTAACGATTAAAGCCGCTCGTGAATGCCAAAATTGATGGAGTGAATGTGCGGTTCAAGAAAAGCCTTTTGGGTCAAGTTTAAATTTATAAAAACCACTACCAACACTACTACTAACGTAGCAAGAGTGAGTAGGGATCGTCCCAAAGGATTATACGTGTTGGAATTTAACTTCAACTCTAGTGTATCACAAGATTGCAAAAGAGATTTGATGAGATGATTAAACTAATTCAATTAATGAAAATACAATTAAAACAAACTAAGTAGAGATAGGGATTTAAGAGATATGAAGAGAGGACTTAGGGTGTTGGAATCACCACTAAGCTCATGTAATTAACCACTTGCTTTCCATTAATGGGAATATATTGTTGTGAACAAAATGTGACTAGCAATTGCAATATTAAACATGGACCATCTAATTTAAGCATGAATTGTCTTACCTAAACTAAGTGCAGCATAACCCATCAATTTTAAGCATGACCCATCTAAGTAGCAACAATTGTAGCATACATCAATCTAGAGAATCATGGAATTTGCAATAATAAGCCAGGGAATATCTAAGTAAGCATAGATTGTCTACCTACCTACAAGCATGAATTAAATTATAGAACAACCCATCAAGTATAAGTATAAACCATCAAATTAATTGACAAACCTATTCAATGAAAACCCATGCTTCGTCATCACTAAATCCTTAATTAATCACACATAGACATGCAACCAACATAGAGAATCTAGTGTAGAGATCAATTCGCCAAATAATCACACATAAGACAACATGTAATCACATAGAGAATTAATAGAAAGAATTAATCCATATGAATCATGTAAGAAATAATTCCTAATTTAATCACACATAGACATGTAAATAAACTAGAGAATTAATAGGAAGAATTAAACCATAGAAATCATAGAAATATACCAAGATTCATTAAATTCACAAGGCTAGAACAGTAATCACAATAATATATATAAATCCCCCAAAATAGAAATACAAGGGTTTAGATTACACAAGACTTAGGGCTCATCCAACCCCTAAGTATAGATCTAGCCAATCATGGAGGTGGTGGATGTGGTCATGGAATCAAGCTCCAAATATGGCTCCATCTTCTTCTTCCTCTTCTTCTTTTTCTTCTTTGAAGCTTTAGAGATGGAGAGAGAGAGTGGTCTAGAGATGGATCTTGAGATGTGCCTCCACTTCCCCCCTTTTCTTCTAACCCTAATCTCTAACTTTGCTATAGAGAGAAATAAAAAATACAATGAAAAAATAAAAATGATAAAAGCTCCTTTACAAATGGGTCACTTCCCTTTATATAGAAGGTCATTTTCTTAGTCACTAAGTCAGGAATATAGCCCCAAAAATATCTAATCTCGTACTATGTGATAAGTGGACTTTTGGGTGCGCACGGAATAAGACAGCTCACTGCCAGCAATGTTCGATCGATCAAAGAAAAAGTTCAATCGATCAGAGAAAAGTTCGATCGATCCAACTTTGATTTTTGATCGATCCAACTTTGATCGATCTCACTTTTCTGATCGATCTCACATGGCAGCTTTTCAGGATCAGCCTCTTTTTGCTCCAAATCAACCTCATTTTGCTCCGAATCCTCTCCAAGACTTAGTTTGACTCCAAAAGAGCCTTAAGAATCCATTTTTAGCCCATTTTAACATTATTAACCTGAAATAGACAAAAACACAAATAAGTACTGAAACGGGTAAATAAGATAGATAAATGTCCTAAAACACTCAAGTTTAAGGGGTTTAAAAGTGTACTTTTCAGCGCTCATCATACCCCCAAACTTAAATATTGCTAATCCCTAGCAATAAACTACAAAGTAACGAAATGAAATGAACAACTAAACAACTATAACTAGAAAGCAATGAAATTATAGCGCCACTTTCGTAGGGAACACGATTGCACTTAGCACATGTAACAAGCCTTTTGAACCCCTAGGTTACCCATAGTGGACGAGTGAAGTCTCGTGAGGGTTTCCAGAAATGATATCCACAAACATTAAGCTCATTCTTTCAAAAGAGGTACCAATATTGCAAACAAGCATTGGGAGAAAACTACCTCAAGTATGCAATTTTTCAACCATTTCCAAGCAATCTCCCAAAATCTCAATATCAAGCAAGCAAATATAATCCTCCACACATCAAGAAAATGATCCTGCAAATCAAAACAACTCTAGAATCCTTAAGAATTAATCACATCATTACCCTCAAACTAGCACACAAATCTAGTACCGATCATCAAGACAAAAAGTGGACCTTTTATTAAAGCTTTATTGTTCTAGGTATGCTTATTCTTTTCACTCAAATTTTTTTTTTTTTTTTTAGGATCACAGATGGAAGCATAGTGCAATGTGTTGATCTCTTAAACTTTCTAGTGATTCATGAGATCGAGCGTTAGGTCAATGACTCCCAAACCAGACGGCTTTAGGGCACTAGGTGTTCAAACACCCCTACGGACTTACAAGCTCAAATCAATTAGGTTACAAATCAAGACAACCTCCATCTAATCATTTCCCACTTCTCACCTTTTGGGAGAAGTCCTCACTTTTTATTACTTTTGCAACTTTTTTTTTTATTTTTTTTATTTTTTTTTATTTTTAAAAAGCAAGTTCAATTATTAACGTAGAGTTTGGGCCCTCCACCTTTCGGCGTGAGAAGTTCAGTGTTTGATGAGGCTAGAATCCCGGCTACTTAGTGAAAAGGGGTTGTTATCCACCTTTATCAAGAATGAAAGTTTTCAATGCACTACTAGCTCAATTGGGATATAACTAATTCAATAATCAACAAAGCATGTACCCCACAAATGAAAGCTAGTGTACGTCTGTGCTAGTGTAGAATTCTAGAATAAATCTCAAAACAATCACAAAATCAAGATGATGAAGACCACAAGTGTAAGCAAGATATCAATCTTTTGAAAAATTTACTCCTAAATGGCTTCCACAAGGCATACAAGGAGTATTGTACCCTCAAGTCATGCAAATTTTAAATTCTAAGCAACATAGTCCTCAAAAGATCAAAATCATAGATAACATCAATCCCAAATCTCAATCATGCAATTAAAACTCAACTTTAAGTAGAATGCAACAAGACACCTTACCCCCAAACTTAAACCGCACATTGTCTTCAATGTGCAATGAGAACAATGGAAAAGATGGAAAGAATATACCGTGGTAATGTAGACATGAAACCCGGTAGTGATCCAATTCGAAAGACGTCTCCCCCAAACTTGGAATCAACAACCTACTTGAATAACCACACTAGCAAACTCACATTAAATATCGAATGGGATAAGAATAATCAAGCATTCTGAGGCAATATATCACAAGATGAAAGAGAGATATGAGATCAAGCCCTAATTAATGCATGAAAACATGAATACACACAAGGGCACAATGGTGAAACTTTTTTTTTTTTTAATATTTTTCATTTAATGAAAGTAAGTATATACAAAATGCAAGAAAAACGAAGAGTAAAATGTATCAACAAAATATGAAAAGAAAAATAAAGAAGGTAAAATGTAATGAAAGAATATGTACAGTGAAATAAATGAAAAACAAAAAGTAAGAAATGATGCAAGAACAAAATAATAAAAAATGAAAATAAAAACTTTTTTTTTTTTTAATCAAAGTATGCACAATGAAACAAAATGCAAGAAAGATAAAGAAATGAAAAATGAAAATAAACATGTATGATACAAGAGATAAGAGACACAATATGTCATATGGGTGCTAAATTTAAGGTCTCTAGCAAGACGGAATACTATATTGAAAAATCGTCTTTTTTTATTTATTATTATTATTTCATTATTTTCTATAGACAAAACAAATATGTACACAAACAAAAATAAAAAGGTAAGTAAATAAAAATGTAAGAAGTAAAAATACAAGGAAATAAAGAATGCAAATAAATATATATTTTTTTTTAAAATTAAAATTTAAAAATTAAGAAAAATTAAAGTTAAACAAAATATTTTTGAATTTTTGGAAATAAGATAAAATGAAGCAAAATAAAATAGAATAAAAGAATTTTTTTTTTTTTTTTTTTTTTGAAAAATAAAATAAAATAACTAAAATAATCTAAATAAAATAAAAGAAATATTTTTGGGATTTTTGAAATATAAACAAAAATAAAAATAAAAGTAAAAGTAAAAATAAATTTTCAAAACCTGCAGACATGTTCGATCGATCTGACAAAATGCTCGATCGATCTGACAGAGAGGGGTGAAAATATGCAGGTTTTTGGGTTCAAAAATTTTCTAAGTGCTGGAACTTGAGATCGATCCAATGATGTAGTTGGATCGATCGAAGAACTTCAGATCGATCTAGGAATATTTTCGATCGATTGAACATATGAAAACATACTCAAATGGAGATCCCAAGAGTTGACATTTTGGGATTGAAAAAGGGCTCAAAATTTTTCTAAGTGTCAAAACTCAAGATCGATCGAATCTTGAAATTGGATCGATCGAAGACTTCAGATCGATCTAGGAATTAATTTCGATTGATTGGACAGAAAGGTGATTTGGATGCAGGTGGATGCAGGTCGAAAATTTTTCTAAGTGTTGAGTGCAATCCACAGTTCGATCGATCGAACTCCAATTTGAGATCGATCGAACTTGTGCCAAATGTTCAATTATGACATGAAAGTGCATGCAATCCTTATCACAGTTCCTTGAAATGTATATGAACCCAGAACAAATATCTAGGCTTCGCAAGAAATGAAAAACAAAAAGAAATGAGGAAGGAATAGAGTTGTGAAACTCTACGAATACTAGTGTTTAACGTCTCTAGCAAGACGTTGGGCCAACTCACTAATCAAAAGAATCAAAAACTGGATATGAAACATCCTTATTGACTCTCTTTTCCATTTTCTCATTTAATGTTCCACTTATGACAATGAAATCATCCTCCAAAAAAATGACTTGAAAAGATATGAAAGAGATGATATTGTTCTTGTCATCCACGGTCTTGAAAATAAAATCAATGATGAGCGGCCTTGCACTTGGCAAGAGAAAGTCTTTTAAAGACTCATTTGGAATATTAAGAAACACCTTCTTTTCATCCCTCTTCTCTTCCTAAAAAATAACCATCTCCTCACCTTTCAAGTAAGCTAAGGAGTTCATTAAAGAGTTTATTTCATTTTTGGAGCTTTCAAAGTCAAGACCACAATTTTTATACATTTCAAAAAGGCATTCCTCAAGAGGGTCATTGGAGATAATAGAAGGAAGGCCATCTTCAACAAGTTCCTCCTCCTTCTCTCCTACCTCAAGTGTGGTCAACATCTCCTTACTCTCTAGAGTAGCAAGGTCATAGATAAAATCATAATCAAAACAAGGAAAATCCTCATTAATCATGTTATGCTCTATTGGATTAGCCACTAACTCACTTACCACTTCCTCCTCTATACAAGATAGAGTGCTAGGCATTAGCTCACTTGTTTCATCCTCTTCACTCTCATCATCCTCATCTATATACATTGAAGTTCTTGCCATTTTTTCGTTTGCCTCTTCCTCATCCTCTTGACGAGAAAGAGTACTTGCAATTTGCTCAACTTGAGCTTCAAGCTTGGCTAAAGTTTGAGAATGAGAATTAATAAGTGGAGTTTGTGAAATATGCACATCAAGTAAAGCTAACAATTTTTTTTCAAATCCGGGTGAGTACCTAGAAGGTGGTGGATTTGGTTCTTCATAAAATTATGGTGGAGGGTAATAGTCATGAGAATGATTAAATGAGTGATCAAGTCTATAATAAGATGATGCATGAAATGAATTGAACTCAATCTCATAAAGATTAACATATGATGGAGGAGTATAAGGTGAAGGGATAAAATTTCCCCCCAAACTTGGATCAAACAATTCATCCATTCACAATAAAAACCCAAATGTAACAAATGATGGCCTCAACAAGGGCCTGTGCTTGGACAAAGATAAAGCAATATAATAAGCCTCAACAAGGGCTATCACAAGCATGCAAAGAAATGAAACAATTAAAATACAAGAGTTCCAAGAATTGCTCACAACGGTCCTTAAGCAATTTCAAATTTTAATATTAGCTTTAAGCTCCAATTATTGCTTCAAGTTCCAAAGTTTGCCTTCCTTGTAGTCAAGTACCTAATTAAACAAATAATAATGAGAACAAGAGAAAAAATATATATATATACAATGGAAAATAAAATAAAAATAAAAGCAATCAAATAAACACTATTGTCTAGTTTAATTCCAACAAAACCGTTAATCCCCGGCAACGGCGCCAAAATTTGACGATTAAAGCCGCTCGTGAACGCCAAAATTGATGTAGTGAATGTGCGGTTCAAGAAAAGCCTTTTGGGTCAAGTTTAAATTTATAAAAACCACTACCAACACTACTACTAATGTAGCAAGAGTGGGTATGGATCATCCCAAGGGATTATACGTGTTGGAATTTAACTTCAACTCTAGTGTATCACAAGATTGCAAAAGAGATTTGATGAGATGATTAAACTACTTAAATTAATGAAAATACAATTAAAATAAACTAAGTAGAGATAGGGATTTAAGAGATATGAAGAGAAGACTTAGGGTATTGGAATCACCACTAAGCTCATGTAATTAACCACTTGCTTTCCATTAATAGGGAATACATTGTTGTGAACAAAATGCGACTGCAATTGCAATATTAAGCATGGACCATCTAATTTAAGCATGAATTGTCTTACCTAAACTAAGTGCAGCACAACCCATCAATTTTAAGCATGACCCATCTAAGTAGCAACAATTGTAGCACACATCAATCTAGAGAATCATGGAATTTGCAATAATAAGCCATGGAATATCTAAGCAAGCATAAATTGTCTACCTACCTACAAGTATGAATTAAATTGTAGAACAACCCATCAAGCATAAGTATAAACTATCAAATTAATTGACAAACCCATTCAATCAAAACCCATGCTTCGCCATCACTAAATCCTTAATTAATCACACTTAAACATGCAACCAACATAGAGAATCTAATGCAGAGATCAATTCCCCAAATAATCACACATAAGACAACATGTAATCACATAGAGAATTAATAGAAAGAATTAATCCATATGAATCATGTAAGAAATAATTCATAATTTAATCACACATAGACATGTAAATAAACTAGAAAATTAATAGGAAGAATTAAACCATAGAAATCATAGAAATATACCAAGATTCATTAAATTCACAAGGCTAGAACACTAATCACAACAATATATATAAATCCCCAAAAATAGAAATACAAGCGTATAGATTACACAAGACTTAGGGTTCATCCAAGCCCTAAGTATAGATCTAGCCAATCATGGAGGAGGTGGATGTGGTCATGAAATCCAGCTCCAAATATGGCTCCATCTTCTTCTTCCTCTTCTTCTTTTTCTTCTTTGAAGCTTTAGAGATGGAGAGAGAGTGTGGTCTAGAGATGGATCTTGAGATGTGCCTCCACTTCCCCCATTTTCTTCTAACCCTAATCTTTAACTTTGTTAGAGAGAAATAAAAAATACAATGAAAAAATAAAAATGATAAAAGCTCCTTTACAAATGGGGTCACTTCCCTTTATATAGAAGGTTATTTTCTTAGTCACTAAGTCAGGAATATAACCCCAAAAATATCTAATCTCGTACTATGTGATAGGTGGACTTTTAGGCGCGCACGGAATAAGACAGCTCACTGCCAGCAATGTTCGATCGATCAGAGAAAAAGTTCGATCGATCAAAGAAAAGTTTGATTGATCCAACTTTGATTTTCGATCGATCCAACTTTGATCGATCTCACTTTTCTGATCGATCTCACTTGGCAGCTTTTCAGGATCAACCTCTTTTTGCTCCAAATCAGCCTCCTTTTGCTCCGAATCCTCTCCAAGACTTAGTTTGACTCCAAAAAGGCCTTAAAAATCCAATTTTAGCCCATTTTAACATTATTGACCTGAAATAGAAAAAAACACAAATAAGTACTAAAACAGGTAAATAAGATAGATCAAGGTCCAAGAACACTCAAGCTTAAGGGGTTTAAAAGTGTACTTTTCAACGCTCATCACTCATCCGCATTTTTAGACATGAACATCCCTTTACGCGATGAGTCAACCATAAATCTATGTGGGTCGGTTAAACTAGCATAGAAAGCTTGCACCAATTGCCATTTTGGAATTAGATGGTGCGAACATTTCCTAATAAGCTCTTGAAGTCTTTCCCAAGTCTCATGGAGTTGTTCCCCATCGATTTGTGAAAAGCTAAGAATAGAACGCCTCATTTGGTTAGTCTTACTCACAGAATAGTACTTTTAAAAGAATTCTTGTTGTAATTGAGCCCATGTAGTGATGGAATTTGCAATAATGGAGTTCAACCAATATTTTGCCCTATCTTTTAAGGCGAATGGGAAGAGATGCAAATGGAGAGCATTTTTTGGGAAGCCCCTCAACTTGATGGTAGAACAGATTTCAAGGAACTCATCAAGATGCTTATAGGGGTCTTCATTTTCAAAGCCATGAAAGGATGGAAGCATTTTAATTGTGCTAGATTTGATCTCATATTGGGCTGCCTCGATGTTTGACATCACTATGCAAGAATGAGAGACATAAGTTGTTGGGATGAAATGGTCCCTAAGAGTCATAGGTACAACATTTGGAATTTCGGCCCTATCATTATCATCATTCCCGACATTTCCTTTATTTCCGGCTATTGTATTAAATTCAAGTTCAATTTCTCTTATATTTTCAGATTCCCTAAGGTTTCTTCTAAGAGTCCTTTCAAGTGAATTTATATCAATTAGCGCATCAAGAGTTGGTAAAGACAATGACCTACGTCCCAACATCAACTACACAATTTACAACAAGCACAACACTTCTTCACCGTAACATCCACACACAATGTTCCCTTTCTCCTCAATTATCGACAAGACAGAAAATGAATGGCCACGATAAGGACCGATGCTTTGTAAAACAGTAAAATAGGAATAGCCTCGATAAGGGCTTCACAAGTTAAATATCACTAAGTTAAACTTATGCAAGATATTCAAAATTGTTGAGACTAGAACTTTGAAAAAACTTACCGGGAGTCCTCTAGACTTAACAAATTTTTTAGCTTTCCCTTGGCAAGCCTTAAGTCCCTAGAGTCTCACAAGAATACTTAAAACATAAATTAATCGAAACCAACAAGAAAATATCCACAAAACACAATATTCATAATCAAACCCAAGTTAATCTTTGAACCTCGGTTACAAACCGTTTGCAATCCCCGGTAAAGGCGCCAAAAATTGGTCGATTGATGAATGCTTACCAATTATAATCAACCCTTTGCAATAGCACAAATCATTGTAAAATAGGGCTATCGTACGGGTAAGTCAAACCACAGAGATTGCTAGTTTATGCAACCAAGGTCTTTAAAATCACTTAGTTTGACGAAGCGGGTGTAGAGTTTTTGTTTGGTTTGTCACTTAGTACTTGGAATTAAAGATTGCATAAAACAATAAATTAAAGGAAATTAAGAGGAAGAAATTTAGGTAGAGTAGACTAGGGAAGTGAATCAACTACCAACCATATAAACATGCTAAATTATGATTAACTTGGGGAAACAACATATATGAGTGGCCATGATATGTAGTGACACATGGTGGCTGCCTTGATGTTTGGCATCATTAAATATGACATCACATATTGATTTCAAACTAGATAAGGCCACATGAATTAAATTTTCATTCAAGAAAAATATTAAATAAAAATTTCAATACTTGTCCAAATGCTCTCAATTTAATATATGTCAATGAACATATCAAGGTGTAACATAATAGCATGCCACAAGTTTAAACTAAGTTAATACCAACCGGGAGAATTAAATCTCATACAAGAAAAATAAATAACAAAGTTTCTAGATTTAATAGAAAGGCATGTGATTAAGTTGTATAAGTATGAAATACACTCAATATAACCAAGATATAAACCTAAGACATCCCTTACCTCAATTTGAGATGAAAATCTCAATTCCCCACCGAAAGAAAAATGCTCCGAATCTGACGATACCACGGGGTTATGTTGGGGACAACGAGAGGAACAACTACCTTTGAGGTACCATGAAAATCCAAACCCGAACTCGAAACTCGAACTCAAAAATAGTCAGAAATGGATTATAATAAGGGGGAAAGGTAGAGCACGACGAGGCCTACAATAAACATTAAGACGGAAGACAAAATGCAAAGGAAATCAAGTGGAGAGGAAGAAAGAGTGGTGGCAGCCCCGTGGCTCCCATGGTTATCGGCCAAAGAGAGGAAGAAGATGATGAAAAAGTAATTTTTCACTTTAAGACATTCTATTTATAGTAAACCCTAAAAGTGCCCCGAAAGGGCCCCGCTAGGTCCAGAAAAGTGGAATTTGAGCAGACGCACTCAAACGGTGAAACTCCGTGAACAAAAAAGAACCGAGATGAAAAAATATGAACAACAGAGAAAGAAGCATAAAAAATTGAGTCCTAAATAGGGAGATATGTGCCAAACAAGTTCGGTAGCAACCGGGGTTAGAAATCCCTAAAACTGGTTAAAACAACCGGGAAGAAATTCTTAGAGTTCACGAGTCAACGAAAAGTGAAAATGAATCCCGTACAAGGATCCAGGCTCAAAACGAGGAAATTCTTGTCTTTGTATACAAAGAATTTTATGTTTAGGGTTAAAGGAAATTGCACCTCTAATATCCATCTCGATCTGTTCTCTCTCAGACTCTCTCCATCTCTATCTGTTCTCTCTCAGACTCTCTCCATCATTGAACACCAGCAATTCGCAACCACCAACGATCCCCAACCATCAACGATGGAGGCTGGGATCTCACTCATTCATCTACCCTCTCTTCTGCCTCTGGAATCCCTTCCATCTACCACCGGTGGCTTCACCGTCTTCATCCATCACCACTCGACCCTCCTCTCTCCTTTTCTCTCTCTCCTTATATATATATATATATATATATATACACACACGATATATATATCTCTTACAGATGAAAGCGAAGTATTATTGAGAGAAGATCGATGCGAAGTGCGGTGCTGATGTCTAGGGCTCTTACCTTTTTCTCCTTTGACTCCTTACCAAAAACCCCTAATTTCCTTGTTCTTACTTTCCTTTAGAATCTTAGATTTTATAATAGACTTTTTGGGATCTCAGATTTTGATGTCTAGGGTTTTTGATGTGTTATTGTATGTGTGTTTTGTGCGTTTCATATATATATGTATATATATAAATGAATTTCAAGCCGAGCTCGAGTATTTGGCAAACACAGTTAAGTCGAGTTTAAACAATGAAGTCGAGGCTGGATTCGAGTTTGAGTTGAGCTCTAACACTCTTGTTGCAGATCGAGCTGAGCTCAAACAGCTCACTACTCAGCTCGGCTTGGCTCGATTGCAGCCTTACATATACCAAAACCTTTCATAACATAACATCTTACAACTATAAATTTGGTCAACAGGGAACCAAAATTCATACAAATGCTATTGTGAATATAAATATTAATATTGATGTATACTTACTTAAACAAAAGGTACACTCCTCCTGTACGACGCAGAATCTTAACATTCATATTCACTGATGTGGTACTGCTTGGCTGGGGATTATAATCCTCTTCATCTGCCTCAACATCATAATCCCCATCAACTAGCTCAGAATCATATTCCTCATCACCTGACTCACTATCAAATTCCTCTATAGTTGAAATTTTATAACTTTGACCAACCTCAGAACTATTGTAAGCTGGTGCACAAGTAGATGATTTAGGGGTAGGGGTAGGACTAGTAGAAGAAGAAGGATTATGGATGTTTTTCTTCCTTTGGACATGTATTTTTTTTTCTTGGCATCATACATTGAAGAATAGGAGAAAGAGGCAGATCAATGATATTGTTAGCAATTTTTTTCCCTTTCCTTTATTCTTTCGAGCTATCATCTTAATCCTACCCATTTCTAAACCTAAGACACACCCCACCACCACAGCAAAATTCAGTGATTTACACTGACAAATGGAGTCAAGGGAACCAAACAGGTGATGCGTATGTACCAAGAACCACCTCTGTACCAATAAACCAACGATATTTCATATACATAGCCAAAAGTAAGACCAAATCAATTGGAATTAAACTACAACAATTGAATACATGGCAGATAAGAAAAAAATTAAACAATTTCTCCGACTAGACCTCTATCCTCTGGAGCAATTCTCAACAAAATTTGAACTATAAATACATAAAATAAACACAAAATTAACTGCAAATAAAGTGCAACAAGCAAAATCATACCAGCCAATAACAGAAAGGACACCAATTTGTGATGATCCGAATAGATAAACACCCAAACGAAGACCAACTTCCTTTGCAAATCAATTACAAGCTACAAATGATCCTCTGCAACAATCAACCTAAAATTTTCATGATAAACACCCAAACAAACGAACGAACACCAACATGCTGTTCAATTCTATTCCTTCCCTTCCAGATTTTTATCCTCCCTTTCTTTCAGTTCCACTACCTAGAACAAAAAAATTGTGAGGAAAAATGACAAGTGCATTTTTGGCTTTTTGCTAATATTCTGTATTTAGATAATTAGGAAATATTTCAGAAAATACATTAAATATATATATACATTATATATACACTGTGACTAAACTTTTGTTTCCCTTTCTAATAGTATTGTTTTTAATTGACGTGGCTCATTTTTTGTCATACAATTGGACCGGTTGGAACAGGTCTCCTATTCTATAGGAGACGATTTTTGTCCTTTGATATATGTCCACCCATAGATATAATTTCTTTTAAATATAAGTTCTTAGATTTGTGTTAGTTAAGAGCAAAATGTTTGAACCACATAAAGGTGGATATCCATGTGCATGTGGTATGGTTCAATGAGACTTTATATTACTAAAAATCCAAAAAAAACATTAACATTTTTTTTATTGGTTAGATAATCATCAACATATATATGGATGGAGACCAATTAGATTATGTAGTTGCGAACTTATTAGCCATGACGAAGAGAAAGACATTTTTTGTGATTGTTGTGCGTGTGCTATTCTGATCAATTTTTTTGTTTTTGTTTTTATATTATTATTGAAAAATGAACTAGTCATGATCAATGTAATAATCTTTTACTAGAAGATATTCATGTTTAGTATAAGATCAAGCACGTAAATTTAGCATTATCCTATTTTGTATATCTGGAGTCCAGTTCAGCATCACAAACTTTTTTGTTTTCACATCAGAAAGCTCTTAACAATATTTATGTTATGAAAGAGTGTGAAAATCAAAAAAGAGAAGATTCTTTTTATTTGATTTTATTTGTTAGATCAAAAAGAAATTTTAGGATTGCTGAATCACAGACAAATCACAGAGATTCTTATCTCTTATATTACCAAATATATAATGTTTTTGACAAAAATTACTGCACAACAGAATTACTGCTTCTATTTTTCAAAATTTGAAAAAAAAAAATTTAAAATAGCAGCATTACCAAACCCACCCTTGTTGTTTGTGTGTGTATGCGTGCTTTTGTATGTGTATAAGAGAGAGCTCTTAATTTCTGTTATGAATTCTTTATTTGCTTAGTTCGACTGTGACGGCCCTTGTTTTACAAAACCCGGTGCGTCAGCGAGTGACCCGAAAGACTGATCCGAAAACGGATCCAAAACGCGAAAGCAATGAAAATAAAGTGGTCACTAGGGATTGATACCGACCCTAAGACCCAAAGTAGACTTCAACAAAGCCACGGAACTCAAGAGAGAAACTAAAACGGAAATAAAGGTCAAAACAAGCAAAATCCATTCATCAACGGTAAAATGGTCATTTCACAAGAAAGAAGAGAAATTTGAGTCCAAAGAATTCAAATGAGGTCTATACAGCCTAATCTAATCATTACACAACATTCCAAGAGGTTTTAAGAACTTTGGCCAAGAATCCCACAAAACACCCATTCCCAGTTTAAGTAAAATCAGACATTGTCTCACTAAAATATGAATAACTCCCACTGTGATTTGAATCTGAGAATAACATTGGTACCATTGGAAATCTGACTCAAAATCCTTGAATTTAGGCTCAAGAATGACCCCGTTTGGATTACAAATGAAGGAGATATGACCGTTCAAAGTTTGAGCAACAAGGCTGTCCCAAAACTAAAGAGTAGTGAGCCTAAAGCATTTAGGTCGACCGAAATGCCATTTCAGTGAATCAAAATAAACCCAGACTCACCCAAAATCTGGAATTTGAAGAAAAATCACCTCGAATACTGCAGAATACTTTGCTAAACAGTGCGTTAGCTACTTGAAAATGAGTTTTTATTGTTCAATTGATTTCAAAAAGCTACCGGCAGTCCGAAATGGTATTTCAGTCATCCAAAATGCCTCGAATACTGCAAAATACTCTGCTAAACACCATAAATCTGTAATGGAACCTATAAGATTCATTCTACCCTCATGCATAGGTCAAAAACTGAAATTTAAAGAAGTACGAGTATCTAAACATGTCAACAAATGTAAAATTCATATTGAATTATGTTGTAATGGCCCAAGGCCTCATTACATATCAATTACAAAATACTACATGTCAAACCTCCAAAGTTCGTAAAATTTGATTAAGTAAGACATGAAACTAAAATAGTATACATATGAACTAAAGATGTTTACTTATGTGTGAAATTACACGAAAGTACATTAAGCTACTAAGCAGACCTAGGGATGTTGTGCATCCCAAAACAAGGTCTCTGATGAGCGCTGAAAAGTGTGCATTTAAACCCCTTAAGCTTAGGTATTCTAGGACCTTTATCTATCTTACTTTCTCTTTTTAGACTAATTTTGTGTTATTGTCCTTTTAAGGTGCGTATCCCCAAAATAAGCTAATTCGGCCAAATAAGAGCTTAAAAGAAGCTAACTCAAGCTGGATGGAAGAAAGGAGCAAAGTGGAAGTAGATTGAAGAAAAGTGTGGAAATTTAGCAGGTTCAATCGATCTCAAAAATACTCCGATCAATCGAAAGTTCATCGATCTAGACTCTTCAAGATGGATCCAAGCTCTTTTGTCCTTATTTAAAGATCCCACAAGGTTCAATTGATCTAATAATTCTCAGATCGATCGAAACGATTCCATCTTATCCTGTTGTACTACCCTACCTACCACTTTTTTCTCTTTCCCCAAAATATCTCAGATCTGTCCTTATCCAAAAAGGTGCCGCCATAGGAGGATCGATCCAACCAAAGTTTGATAGATCTCAGCCATGTTCGATCGATCACAGAACAGGTTCGATCGATCAAACCCTCTCAAATCCGAAAAAAATATATCTCTAGCTCATTAAAAGTTGTCTCATTGTGCAATCATTGGAGGAGCCCTTGTGTACGAGCCTAGTTTTTGATATACTTTTTTGGAGAGATACAATTCTTAAAGAGGAAGAAAAGAGAAGAAGAGTCTAGACACATTCTTAAGAGGTTTTCCATCTTCCTCAAGAAGAAGAGCACTTCTACCATCGAGATAGCCCTTGAGGGTTGGAGGACACTATTCATGAGTGGCTAGACATCTTCTTGGGGCTAAAGTTAGCCCTAAGCATTATTTCTTTACCTTGATTTATGTATTTTTTAGGGGATTTGTATTGTAATACATGTTTTGATATATTTATATACATAGATCTTGTTTATTCAATGATTTGTGTGGTTTAATTCTTCCAATTGATCATTTCATTCTATCCATATGTCTATGTATGCTAGGATAGATGTTCATGTGTTTATCTCTATCTCTTGTATTGTTGATGCATGTCTATGTGTGTTGATGGTATAGATCTAGAGATTGTCAAGACATAGTGCTTAATATAATGCTCTTGTGGTTTATTTGATGGTTCATACTCATTTCTTGATGGATTGTGCCTCACCCTTAGTCTAATTAGTTTAATTTCCATGTTATTAGCTTACATGTAGTGTAGCTACCTTAGTTGTTAAATGGGAGGACAATCCATACTTGTTTTTTGATGTTCCAAACTTATGAATGCAAGTAATATATTTCTCTAATATGTGATGTGTTTGGATTGTGAACTTAAAGAAAGGATTAATGACTTAGTTTGATGTATTGTGCTATTCATTGTATTGTTTAAACAATATATACTTAATTGGTCATCCATGCTTCTTGAGACATTCACACACATTCACTATTGTTGCAACATGTGCCTTCCCCTCATTAATTGTGAATTGAGTGTATAGAAAGGTGATGCTTAGTGGTGAACTCTAAATCCCTAGATCTCTCTCTCTTGTTTTCTCCATCCTTTAATTACTTGTTTTATATTGATCTTGTTTAATCTTAATTGTAGTTTAATCAACCAAACAACCTACCTTTGATCACTCGACCTACTAACCCTAAGCATTGTTTCCATTACTAGTAGCCCTTCAATCCCTTGGGACGATCCCTACTCACCCTTGCTATATTTTTAGTTAATGGTAGTAGTGGCATTTATAAATATAAAACTTGGCTACATTGCACATTCACTATCTTTTGCACATTTTTAGGCTTCGATGCTTGACACACACCGGTCTCTTTACCTGAAAAATGTCACAAACAACGAGGGTGAGTAAACAAGTTACTCGTAAGAAGAAGAGCATGCATATACCCTAAAGTTTCAAAAGTCTTGCAAGTTCAATATAGATTAATACAAGGGATCATTCCACTAATGTCTATGTTGCAAGGTGAATTAAGGGATCATGTCAAGCTACATAAGCAATTGAAATGAAATAGACAATGTACAACCATACTAAGCACAAGTATACTAAACGTAAATAAAACCTCAAAACAATGCACAAGCATACTAGGCACAAGTATACTAACGTAAATAAAACCTCAAAACAATGCACAAGCATACTAGGCACAAGTATACTAAACGTAAATAAAACCTCAAACACCAAATCACAAGTTACAAGTAATCAACGATTAACAACTTCAAATTAAATGCGAAATCACGTAGTCAAAAAAACTAGGACATGTGATCTTGGTTTTTAATCAAGACCTTACAACTTATTACGGGCCATTACAACCCACAAGGAACTACCTAGTTCTCGCTCTAATGATGTAGGGAGAACTCATACCTCCCGTACTAGAGCCAATTAATAATGTAAGAAATCACCTTCTATGCACAAGTAGGGTGAAACCACACAATCCATGTTCTAGGGTTTCAATTCTAAAATGGCATATGAAATGATAAGTATTAACATGTGAATTTGCTATACAATTTAAGATACTAAATGCCAACTAAATCAAGTTACTATCATGTAACCCACAAATACTAAATATACCACAATCTAGTTATAAGCTTCTATGGTAAACATTAGTATAAATTCCACAAGAGTTCATTATCACAACAAGAATTCTCTAGAATGAAGAAATCTAGTAAATGGAAAAATTTACTTACGATAAGATATATATGATTCACATGCTTTGAATCATTAAACCTTAAGTCAAGGTTATATAATTTACATCTAAATGCAATCCTACAATTCAACAAACATGCATTTAATATATATAAAATCTCAAATAGAAATCAAACTACAAGAGTATAAACATACTACAACCCCTACCTCATTAGAGGATTGTTCCTCTAGAATCCAAGGCAAACAAACTTAAAATGCAAAACTAAAAAATGGTCTTTTAGATCAAGAAGAGAGGAAGTTATGATCTTCAATATTGGAGACCAAAATTTTCAAGCAAGGGGGTCAAATTTTAGAAATGGC